TTTTTCCCAAGGGGTTTTTAACACTTTTTTTGTTTGGTTTTTCTCAAAAATTTTTTTATCCGGTAAATTTACCGGGAAAACCGGTTTTTAGGCCTTCCTTTTGGAAAAAAAAAAAAAAAAAAAATTAAAAAAAAAATTGTTTTGGTTTTGGAAATCCTTTCCCCCCCCCCCCCCAATTAAAATGGTAAAAAAAGGGTGGATTTGGACCCAGGGGGAAAAATATAAAAAGGTTTTTAAAATAAAAAATTTTCCCAAAAAAAAAAACCCCTTTTTTTTTTTTTTTTTTTTTTTTTTTTTTTTTTTTTTTTTTTACACCATTTTTTTTATTTTAATTTCAATATTTTTTTTAATCACATTTATAAAAAAACAAATATCTACAGTGTAATTGTTTATTATGTATTCGTAAAACACCTAAAATTCTTATTCATGGGAAACCTGAGTTAAAAGATTATCTAATAATAGTTTTCTATATTTTGATGGATTATCAAAAAAAAGAAAATGAAATATTAAATCTTCCCAACTCAATAGATGAAGAAAATGAAAATTTAAATCACTACGTGTCCACTAAGAATGTATACAAATTTATAAAACTTCATGCTGAGCTCCTAAACATAGATATGAATATCATCAAGAACAGAGACTCCATTTCGTCGTGCCTTAGTTTCAACAAAGATTATTTCAAATCGGGAAAATCCAAAATGGTTAAAGGATTTTGGCTTTTAATAAAGACTACAGACCCATGGGAGATGGACTATAGTACCGTTCCATTAAGAATCAATAGACACGAAGGCGTAGAATTGTGTAACGTAATTACCAAAAGAGGATGTAAATGTCAACTATTAAAAAAGCATTGCCAATATCATGGACCAAACAGAAATAAAAAAAACAATTCTCCACCAAGTTTCCTTAAAGGAATATCAAATAAACCAAAAAAATCAATTTTAAATGAGCCAGTTTATAATAACAATAACAATAATAATATAAATAATAATATAAATAATAATATTATAAATAATAACAATAATAAAAATAAATCTAATAATGTTCACTCTAACATATACCCAGCCACCAACAGTAAAGAATCTTTATGTCCCCAATTTAATAAAGTAATCAAAAATGAAAATGAAAAATCATATCTAATAAATAATAACAATAATTACAATAACTTTGATGATAGTTTCAGCAGCAACTATGATTTATCTCCAATTTTTAACAACACACAAACACACTCCAATTTACCAACCCCATGTTTGCAATCACATGAATTTATATCTCCACAACTTTCACAAAAACTCCCTGGCTCCTCAATACCCTTGTTTCATTTAAACAATAATAGTAGTAATAATAATAATAGTAATAATAGTTTTAACTATATACCACCTTTAAATAATAATAACAATAATAATTATAATTACAATAGTAATAATAGCTACAATACCAATAATAATAGTAATAATAATAATAATTACAATAATAATAATTATAATAATAATAATTATAATTACAATAGTAATAATAATAATTATAATTACAATAATAATAATTATAATTTCAATAGTAATAATAATAATTATAATTACAATAGTAATAATAATAACAATTTTTTACCACATTTACAAAATTTACCAATTTTTTCAATTAATGATGAAGTTAATAAACCAAATCAAAATAATAAAAAAAGAAATTGGGAAGATCAAAATCACTCATATTCATTTCCAAATATTTCTCTTTCATCACGCACTTCACAAATCTTTCAATCTAATGTTAATTCTCAAAATCTATATAATAACTCTACATTTTCAAATGATTCCAATAATCTACTTCCCAGAATATCAAATCAATATTATCAATATTCCAAAATAGATAATGATAATGAACATAAATCAAAACACTATAAAAAAATAAATAATAACAACAATGATTATAATGATTGTGATGTATCTCAAAAAATGTTATCACCTTTAACATATTCTCAAAGTAGTAATAATAATAATTATAACTCCAGCTATAATCATCTCAACCATCATCAAATACATTATAGTTTTGATTCATCGCAAAGCTCACCATCGTTATCGCCATTATCGATACAGCCCACCTCGCCCCCATCCAATTTATTCCGTTCAATCAATGCAATTGAATTCGAAAAAAAACTCTTAAATAGCTACACGTTTTACTATATACTTAATAGAATAAAGTTTAATCAAAGTGGCCACACTCTCATTGTCGAGTATGTTCGTTTTATGATATTAAAAGCTCTTTGTGAATCCCACACCACTAAACTAAAGCCACCACCATTAATTGAAATATTCTGGGTAACTCATATGCAAGATACCGCTCGTTATAGGGATTTTTGTAAAATTGCAAACAATGGCGAAGATTTTCAAATTGAACAAGAAGATAATTCCAAAGAAATTCAACGTTCAAGATACCTTACCACAATAAACTTATATAAAAGTTTATTTGGTGATAGCATGGATCATAAAATTTGGCCAATTAACTTTTTAGAGTAATTTTTCGTTTAAAAAAAAATATATATATTTATATATATAAAAATTGTTTTTTCATGTTAATCAATAATAAAATTACCATATATAAAAATAAATAAATAAATAAATAAATTAAAAATCAATAAATTTTAAAAAAATCTAAAGATAAAAAGAAAAAAGAAAAAAAAAAATAAAATAATATTATTATTGTTTTTTTCGTATTTTTTTTTATTTCTTTTTTTATTTTATTTAATATCTTTAATTAATTATTGTGATCAATAACAATAAAAAACCAGCATTGTTTTCTTTTTTTGGTGTGGTTGTTATAATCAAAACATTATATTTTAAAAAAAAATATTAAAAATCATGCGCACACACATAAACACATCACTCTCACCACTCTAACCACACACTTTAACACTTTAAATTTTGAACATATATAAAATAAAGTGTATCTTTTTTAACAATTTCTATTTTTTTTTATCTTTTGCGAATTTTTAAAGACAATATTTCCAATTATTTTAGAAAAAAGTAAATTTAATAGTTTTAATTATAACTAATAATTTTATGATTAAAGATAATACAAGCTCTCTATATATATCTTTAATTTTTAATATGATCAAAAAATAATAAATATATTTAATACAAAATATTAATAATAATAAAATAAATATAATTTTATTTTTTTTTAACTTATTTTAAAAATTATTTTTTATTTTTTCTTATTTTCATTTTATAAATTTTTATTTTGTGTATTAATAAAAATGAAAACTATTTTATTATTACTAATATTAATTTTACACTGCATAGTTTTTTCAAATGCACAAAATAATCAAAGTATGTAAAAACTAAAAAAAATTTATAAAAAAACTTTTGTTAAATTATCTTTTTTTTTATTAGGTAAAAACAGCACAACTATAACAAATAATAATAATAATAACAGTAATAAAAATAATAATAATAATAGTACATTAAACAATAATACTAATAACATAACAAATAGTAATACTGATATTTTTAAAAATGACACATTACCTTTTATAAGAAATTATTCAATAGTAGATAGTTATAGATTTCCTGAAGTTATATTATTAGGAAGGTTTTTAAATTCAAATAAGCCATATTTGGTAATTGATGGTGCAAAGCATAATGATTTCAAAATATTAGAAATTAAAGGTGATGTAATTTCACAAATTGGTTTTATTCATCCACACAAACATTCGGCTAATTTCTCTGTTGAATACGATACCAACGGTTTAAAGAGCAATGTGGTCAATGTTCAAGTAAAATCTAAAATATATGAACACTATACCGATCAATTAACCAATGAACTAGTTTTGGAAGGTATTTTTATATATCAAAATAAAACAATTTTCCCAGAAGTATCAATAGGTGAAAACTCTTTGATGAATGAAAATGTTAGCTGCACAATTACCAAATCAACCTATTATTCAATTAGATGCCTATTACCTTTCAAATATGGATGTAAAAATGGTATTAAAATATCAAATGTCTACGACTATAGCGATAGCTTCACCAATATACAAATATGTGCTTTGAAACCAAAGATCGAGAAAATAATAGCAACTGTAAATGAATGGGAAAAAGAATTTATAGTAACTGCAATTGGTGACCATTTAGGAAAAGGAGCCTGGTTAAATCTAAAGACTGGTAGTTCTCAATTACTGGATGTTAATGCCGATAATAAAGTTATAGAATATATTTATAATAATGGGTCTGAAACTTACGAATGTGTAAAAATGCTTTCAAGCAATAATGCCTATGTATCTTGCAAATTCCCATATGAAGCCTATAAGGAAATAAAGAGGAATCACAAGGATGAATATAACTATGTATCTGTTCAACAACCTGGAACCTTTTATACTAATAAACAAGTAAACTATGAAATGCTTCAATTGGAATACTTGGACTATGACAATATAATATTAGTATTAAACACAAAATACGGAAGATTGGTACCATTGGTGGCCATACCTGTTTTAGTGTTTTTAATAATTGCTTTTATTGTATTGATCATTGTCGTAATAGTTTTAAAAAAGAAATATGATGGCTGCAAAAAAGAAATTAATCAAAAAAAGAACTACAAAGATCCATTTGCAGACCCATTTGCTTAAAATATAGAAAAAAAAAATTTATTTCATATTTAAAGTTATATGCAATAAATAAATAATATTTTTTATATTTTAAAGAAAAAAACCTCATTATTTTTTTTAATCAAAATATTTGAAAAAATAAAAAAATAAACAAATAAAATTTTACTTTTTTTCATAATATCTTTTTCCAAACACTTTTAGATTTTAATAATAGCAACACAAACATCAGTTTTATTTTAGTGTAAATTTTTTTAGTTTAAAGTATTTTTTTTCTTTTTTATAAAAACTTTTTCATGAAATTATTTATTTATTTTTAGTGTTTTATTTGAAATGTGTTATAACTTTGTCAAAAATAAAAAAAAAATCTGTGGATTGATCCATATTTCAAAAAAAAAAAATTAAAAAAAAATTTATTACAAGAGATATTTTTGGAGACTTTGAAAAAATTTATTTATTTTTCTGAAAAAAAAAAAAAAATTAATTTTTTAAAAAAAAAAAAAAATAAAAAAAAACAGTTTTTTTTTTTTATAATAATAAACTAAAAGTTTGGTAATAATATTCTTTGAACCCTCTAAAGTTCAAAAGAACAAAAAAATATTGAATTTGATGATAAGATTCCAGATGAATAAAAACGTGAATTTATTTATGCGGTTGTGGATTAGCTTTAAATATTTAATTGAAAATCCATTTATAAATCAATTAGCTCTTATTATTTCTGAAAAGCTCACCATAGATTACATGCAAATAATGTTTTAATGTTTACGGACTTTTTTTTTTTTTTTTCTTTTTCTTTTTCTTTTATTTTATTTTGCATTCTAAATAACACATCAACTTTTTGATTATCAAAAAACCAAACTAAATTGAAAATAAATAAAAAAATAAAAAAAAAATAAAAAAATAAAATTTTAATATATTTTTTATAACGGAAATATAATAAATAGAAATAGAAATAGAAATATATAAATAATAAATTATTAATAAAAATAAAAAAATATTATTTTAAGAAATAAAAAATTATAAAATAATAAAATAATTAAATACCAAGTAAAAAAAAATGAATAATGTAAACATAAAAATTTATAATATAGGAAAAGAAAAATATGAATCATTTTGGCTAGATGATAAACCATTAGACTCCCTTAGTTATTTCGATTTATGCAAAAAATATAAAAAAATTATGAAAGGAGGCGATATTTCAAATAGAATCACCGATAGATCTTTATTACTTCAACAATTTAAAGCAATATTAAAAAATGAAATTATAAAAAGATATTCCAAAAAAGATAATAATTATCACAACTGTATTATAGTAAACTGCACATGTCCACTTTGCCAAGAAGAAGATCCAAAATTAACAACAATCCTTTCAAAAAGCTCACCCAGTTGGTTGGATAGATTAAAACTAGTTTTTAATTTTTTTAATAAATATTTTTCAATTAATAATAATAATAATAATAATAATAACAATGATAATAATAATAACCAAGATCAAACTTTTACAATTTATCTTCATAATTCAATTTTATTTTCATTTTTATATACTCATAGAAAAGTTTTAAATATCAATGACAATTCAACAGATAGTGAAATAAAGAGGTTCATTACAGATACATTGGCTTGGCACCCAAAATATTTCTTTTCTGGTAAAGATGACCACAGATTAAACGGCTGTAAAGGATACTGGAAAATGGCAATACAATCAAAAGACGAGTTTAATGCAATATATAGTTTTTCCCCAAATATATCTTATAATGGAAATACTAGTTTTATAAAATTTCTAATAGACTCACCTATATTATTAATAAACAAGACAACAAAAAAATTAAATTATCAAAAATCAACCAAAATCAATAAACTATTACTTTCAAATAGTGATGAAGACTATGAATCAGATTCAAGTGAGGAACATCAAGATGTTCACAATGTTCACAGTTCTAAAATATGGGGTTCCGATATATCTTCTATTTTATACAAAATGTCTTTGCTTCAGTCTTGGTCTGGTTTATTGGATGGTTTATCAAAAGAGTCAAAAGAATTAATATGGTCTACATGCAGTTACTTTGTTAATTTTGGAAACTATGATCAAAGTTCATTTTCAAAAACATTATTCATTTGGGGTAGTAATCTTTTTTCAAATTTACATTTAATAAATATTCTTTTTTCGGCAATTGGGTATTTAAAAGAAATGAACGAAATAGAAGGTGATTTTTATTATTTAGATTCAAATGTCAAGGTATTTAAAGAATTTATCTTTGATGATCATAGTAGTGGAAGTGAAGAATATTATAATAGTAGTGAAAATGACCTTACCTACACTGATGAAAGTACCCACTCGTCAAGAAATAATTCACCAGTAAACTTTGAAATTGATAAAGAATTTAATGAAACAAGTAATTCTATTTCATTTGATAAACTATCAATTAGATCCAATTCACCTTCCTCCTTACAATCAATACAACAATCTATTTATAAAGAAAATACAAATGAAATAATAAATATGTATAATAATAACAATAATAATCATAATTATTTTAAAACAAATGTAAACCACCATGGAA